AAAGGTTCTTGGGGTACTTCTTTAGACTTCTCCTTCCTCGTGCTGCTTTTCGATTGCCTGTTTTTTCGAAGATCTTCTTGCAAAGCTGTTCTGTAAGTGGTATTGGCTACCAGTCGCTCGAGTGATGCAATCGGATCCAGCCTTAGTGCTCTCCTTCTCTCTAGCAGATCCATGATACCTTTCGTAATTTGTTGCAACTTGCTTGTTTGAAGCATTGAGGTACTTTCAGCAAAGGCCCTCGGTCCTCTGTGAAGCAGATGGTAGTCCTTAGTTGGGTCCCTCCTCGATGGGGTCAAAGTGGTCAGGAGCTCCTCCAATCTGACGCCGTCGTATACGACTTCTCTCCTTCCTCCAACATGGTGACAGATCTTCTTTTCCAGCTTTCGGCTGAACCGCTTTAGCTTGGAGGAGGTGTGATCCGAACCACTGCTGAGAGATGGGCCCACTGAGATGTCCAGAAAGAACCACCTTTGGTTGGTGAGAATGTGGTCGATCTCCGCATGAATCGTACCGTAAGGTGACGTCCACCGCCTGTTCTTTCTTCATGAAGATGAAGTTGCCATGAAAAATTCTTGCGACGGAAAAGAGCCCAGCAAGACGGTTACCATTCTCATTTTGGAGTCCTGATCCAGATCTCCCAATCCTATGCTCTCCTCCTTCCGACATCCCGATTTTCGCATCACCCATGACAATTTTGCAGAACGACTGATGCGGATGATTCCTACCCTCATAAAAAGCATCAAGTTCCGAGTCATCAGCTGCTGATGTTGGAGAATGGCGGGTGATGATAGTGATGGTTTTCTGAGGACGGAGACGAAGGATAGCCAGTCGAGGTGATAGGATCTCATGCGAATCGACAAAATGGACAACAGATGGGTGTACGACAAATCCAACGCCTCCAATATTCCGTGATGGAACCTTTTCACCACGAATGATGAGCGTGCCATCTCAGCTGCCTCACGTCCGTCTTTTTGGACTTTGTTTTCTGCAAGGCGATTATGTGGTAGTTGATGCGCCCTGCTTCGAGAAGGATTGGAGATCGGCGTTGATGGATACTGTCCTGGCGTTGTAGGTGCAGAGCATGGGACAATCTCCATGGCGAGTCGTTGACATGTCTCTTTGGTTCAAAATCCATGACGTCCTATGCAATTTGACACTGCTCTTGATGACATCCGACGCGTAGATGCGATCCAGTGTGCAGGGTTTCTTTTTCTCCAACTGCAGTACGGGCAATGAGTAAAGGAATCCCCCTAAACATTAGCAGTGCCTTGCCAGGGCCGTCAAGCTTTCACCACAGGCAATCGCTGACCTTATGTGGATCAGGGAGCCACCTAGCGGCTGAATCAGCCAGACGGTGGTGCTTCTGGCATGGTTTAGTGTTAGCTGGGCATCCGGACCAGTAGCGTCGAACTCCTTCTCAGCTTAGGAGACGATAGAGGATAAAACTGCGCTGTAGTTCACAGTTCGACACCCAGTATCACCCCCGCGCCACGATGAGGCGGTAGACCATCGCGGGGGAACGACAATAAAAATAAGTAAAGGCACCTAAATTTGATTAGCAAGCTTTTTTTATTTCTCACTTCTTCATTTTTCTTCTCATGTTTCTGCTTTCCTTCAAACACATTTATGCATCCTTTGGTACTCAAAGGGCAAGGTTCATATGAATACACTTCTTTATATCCTTGCTAAGGTTAAATTCTTTTTTTTTAATCAAAGAAAAAAGCGATTCAAGCTACGGCACTGCATACTGTCTCGTTCGCATGCATTTCCACGTTACAAGTAGTGTATTGTAATTTGCTGGTTTTTTGAGAGCGTATTCATTTTAATGAGGTGGCTGGAGAATGATCGCATATGACTACTTTCTTATTTCCAAAACTTTTTTTCAGTATTCATTATCAATGAGTTTCAGTATGAGAGTACCACATAAATAGAGTTGTCCCGACGGTTTTTTTTGTTTTTTTTTGTTTAATCGATCGCCGCATAATGGATATCAAAAGGTCTTCATCACTTCGTATCTTCGCATTGTATGAAATAGCAATACTGCTCCTCTTATTAGATTTAAAAAAGAGCGGCAGGGAAGTCCCAGAGCGAGGTTGTCGAAAATAGTTACTCAAAATTCATGCTCATGAATTAAATCAAATTAGGAAGGAGATGACACAGAAAAGTTGGTGCACATGACGTTTGATTCCGATCCTGGAAGCAAAAACATTCCGTATCTTTCAATAGGACTGGGGAGCCAAAACGACCCACTTTCAGGAAACCAAATCGTCCGTTTTTTGCAGGATAACCAGCTTGATCCGAATCCATTGGACTTTCTGTTTGAGGCTTCATGGAAAAGCAACGTAGGGTTGGAACGTAATAAAATCTGGTGACTTTGGGAGAAATGACCAAAATTTGGAACAATTTGTACGTTAACTACATCCGCCGCACCATCGATTCCATGGAGAAACGAGTTGACGCCTGTATCAAGGCTGATGGTGGCCACTTCGAAAATTTATAATTGTTGTGCAACCTTTTTATTTATGTAAAAACAAATTTTTAAAGTGTTGTTTGGGAATAAATAAAATTTGGGCGTTTTTTTTTGGTCACGCAATTTTTCGCCAGCCAGTATAATCTGGAATAACAGGCGACCACTTCTATTAGGATAGCAGGATCTCAGCAAAAGACCGAACATCTTTTTGCATTATTTTTAGAGGATGATTTGCTCATTGATTCACTGAGTCACGATATTGTTATTGCCTTACACTATTAATTTTGGAATGTGATTGACATCGAGCTTTGAGCCTTTCCAAAACAACAAAAACGTTTGTTGTTTGAGATTTGTCGACCGATGGGAATCGTAGCTCACCAATTGTCTTCTTCGTTCTTTAAAAAGCGGTAAAGAAGTCAAGCTTGAATTCAAACAGTCAAATGGATGTTTATAGCGTTCTTACGCACTGATATTCAAACAAAAATCTAGCACTTAATACGAAACATTTTGTGAAACTTACAGTGCATTACCACAAAATATTCGTCAGGAAATGAAGAACGCGAATAGATTTCTTTTATTTTTAAGTATGTAGTATCATTAAGGTTTTAAACTGAGAAATTGAAATTTTTACATCTGAGTTCGATTTATATTAAGCAAGAAAGTTTTGCCTTAAATTCCGATTGGGATTACGTAGTAGCAAAGGAAACTTCAATGACTACACCATTAACAATGTGGGAGACATGGGAACTAGTGCTTTTAACAAAATCATCTAAATCCATGTTTTCAAACACATCGCTCAGCAACTGCAATTTTCATATAACAACCAGTATTTTCTCGAAGATTTCGCCTTTTTTCAAAAAAAGTGTTTTTCTAATTCTGTTGGTATAGAATTCCGCGAAATGAATGAAAGCAGAGCAATTTTGCTTATATTACTTAAGAAAAAGTCAAAATAATCTGGAATACTGCATCTAAGACTCGCAAAGCTTTCTGCAGTGATGGAAGAAACAGAAATGCATCTGGAATTATGCTTTCGGAATCAATTCAAACAAATAAAACTGATTGATGAGGTTTTATTACAGACAAGTAACATCAGATCAAGATACCTGCATTCTCGTACAAAAATCCACATAACGAGCTATAATATTTACCGTAACCTGTCGCAAGACCTTACAATACAGAAACGCTTCCGTTTTTTGTTTACAAGTTTTATGCTAACTTCCCGATAAGCTACACATACAAATAGAAGAGTTCTCTTGCAGGTGGAACAAAGCAATAAAGTTCAGTCTGATTGTGTAATGTGCTTGTTTTTGCTTCAACTAT